TTTTCTTTCTTTTACCTGGCGAAAAAACATTCGTAGCGGTGATTGATATTTAATTGTGATCAGCCAGAGTTGTGATAACTTCTGAAACCAGGCTAGCCGTGGAAAATCGTCGCGTTTGAAGATAGAAAGGATATCTGCCATTTGGCGGTGAAATTACTGAAACTGATCAAGTTTTACAATTTTGCCGTTAGCCGGCGAGCCTTTCCTTCAGAACTTGATTTGAATGAAAGGTTTCAGTTACGAAAAATCAGCTTTGTAAACTAGAGTGATGCGAGCCGTCCTGAGTTCATTCTTAAGCTTTTCTCGGCGGTAGAAGGTTGATATTGCAGTGACTTTACCTTTGCAGACTATGATTTTAAATTGATTTCGACTCCGACCTTCGCGAACCTTTTTTTTTTTTTTATGATGACTATCTAGAAATGATTAGGTAAATTTACACTATTTTACTTTTTGTCTCTTTTCGTTTAGCTTTAACCCGATTTGGGCACTATAGACAAAAATGCAAGGCTTTCTTTCATAAGCTCTTCTTTTTATCTCGTATGTTATGCCTTTTTTTTTTTTTAGTTCCTTGAACAAACTAGAAGGTAGAAGGTCACTTAAACATAGCTGACTGCGACATATCGACGCGCTTTAATGTCGAATAATTTCTCACTTCTTTCAGTTTTTTCTTTATTCAGACCGTTGCATGACCCTTGTGTTTACCTCAACTCAACTATTTCCTGAATTCAGCAATCAGACATAAGTACGTTTTTGTTCCACTCTTCTAGCCTTTCATCTAGGAAAGGGTGCGCGACTGGTGTGAAGCGGAAGAAAAACTCCTTGCGGAAAGAGAAATATGCTTGAGTTGTTTGCAAAAGGATTTAGTTGCATTTTTGAAGACATATACCGCTAGGAAGCTCAGCACGATTGTGAATCTTTCCAACAATAGCTGAAATGAGTCGTTTAGCGGTATGCGCCACGCGGTTAAAATGTTGTTTACATAGGTCAACCCTTCTATGGTAGTGGAGTTACGGCGGAACCCGTACATTGTGTGCTTAATAAGTAAGCAATGTTCAAATCAGAGAGAGCGACGGCACTTTATCTTTACACTGTGCGGTACTTTAAGGGGTCAAGAACTAATTTTCGCTAAGGAATGAACCCATTTCACATTTAAAAGGACTGTCACGCATTTTTTTTTTTGTGAGTTTAGGTTCCCATCCTATCGTTAAATGCTTTTGACAGAACTCCTGGGAAAATTTGAAAACAATAATCTATATCATACTCTTGTTTAGAAAGGTCACAAATTTAATCGTTTTCTACGCTTTATTTTTTCTTTGATAGCACATTATCCTGACGCATTAGTTGGTAATGATTGAATTTTCTAGTAGTTGAAAGAACAGAATTATCTGGTGACGATTGATAGAGAAGTTGACCACTTACACGATCCTTCAACACCATCTTTAAGTATTTGAGAGTCCTTTGCTCGCTAATTGTTATATTTATTTTTTCCTTTTTCTAAAATTTCTTATGAGTCACAGTTTAGATCGTTTAGGTCGTTTTTGCAGAAGTACTGAAATAATTTTAAGGCTTTTCCCAGTGCCTTTTCCAGTATGGTAGTTGAGAAAAAAAACTGAAAGATAACAATTGTGAGACGATGCCAAATTCACGGAACACACAACTACCAGAATTTTGCCTCTCATTCTAATAACTGACATTTTCGTTTGTTGAAAAACACTTCGGCAGAGGGGTTCCTAGAAGAGTGTGGCTCCTTTCGTAAAACCATTATGTCTTTGTGATTCAACAATGGAAGAGGGAAATTTTTGTGGATTCTCAAGTGAAGAAATTATTTCAGACAGTATGTCGGGGCTCGTTAAGATATCTTTCGGTGTTCTTGATGGGAACTTTCCGATTAGAGATCTTTCATGAGGATAAGTGGAAGTACAGTCTTTTGAGGGATCCTGTTCCTGTAGACTAGCTTTGTCTGTTTCCCATATTCGTGGCGTTGCTCGGAATTTTTTTTGATCCTTTAATACAGCTTGTAGCGTTTGATGACAAAGGAGAGTTTCTGCTCTTTTAAAATCACGCGCAGTGGAACATGATTGACCTGTAGTGGAAACTAAAAGCAATATTGTGGTGGAGGAGTTTTGTACACGTTGTGCACCAAATTACCTTAAGAACTTTTCTCTCTTATTTTTATGTGTTTTATTTTCTGTCTTTGGTGTCGGGAATCTGTCAATATTACTTGAGTCTTTTCGGTAGTTTTGTGTCTACGCCAGAAAACATATGGTCGTACTACGGATCCAGCGCAAACAGAACTTGACTTCACAGACAAACATCAATCAATGACAAGTAATGATTGAGTCCATTATTTGTTGCTAAAAACATCTTGAATTGCTACTGTACAGATACTACATACGGGTTTTAACAGCTAACTTATTTGAGACGTGGCCTTTAATAGCGCATCTGTAATTTTGTAGCACAATTGCATGGGATCGAAGAAAATGTCTCTTTCGAAAACGAGAGTCTTATCGTAAAGTGGTGGTCTTCTGTCTGTAGACTCATCTCTCTGGCTTGCCAGGAAGATCAAACCTTTCGGAAGCGTTGTCGCTCTCTAGGTCTTCTACTTCAGCTCTGTTCAAAATTGGAAGGCCAGCACTCTAAAATTGACAGGTCATAAAGAAAAAGTTCAACGTTTTCTAGTGGAATACAGGTGCGACGTAATCTTTCGCATCCAGTTTTCGCGGTACGTCGTAATCAGGCCACTGTGGAACAGGTTCGTGCTATGTTTTTGTGTTCTTTTGGGTCGCAAAACGCTTGGTATCAAGGGACATTAATGACTCTCGTACAATTAAGAGATAGCTGAACGTGTATGGACAGAAATGTAGTAGATTTTCTTTTGGACAACCTGATGCACCATGAGTTTGATGGTTAGTAAGAGAGCGAATAGAAACGTATCGCAAGGCATATTCGGAAATTTGATGAACTCATTAATCTTAAGACAATCAAGCACGAATTAGATCGATAATAAGGAGACTAGACACAGACTGTTTGGTATGAGTTTCGGGTCGCGTGTTACTAAGAAGAATTATTAAGCGATTAGAGATGTTAAGCGGAATTGTGTCATGTAAGCAATCGACGTTCTGTTCGAATTGTTGATATTTTGAAGCATTTATTAGCCCATTATTTCTTTACAACACCGTGAAAAATAGACTATATTAAGATCGAGCTGTTTTCTAATTAATGACAGAGATTTGGAAAAAACCCACGTTCGAATGTAAAATGACAAGTGGAATAATTTTGATGATAGCATCCGCGAACACCGTCCAGAGCGTATGCCAAAGGAAATGGTACTAGAGGGAAAATATAAGAGAAAAGATCGAAAGAATGTTATTAGTTGTATATTTATATAGTTTAACATTGAAAGCCTGCTGCATTAATTTTGGAAGTTAATTGGACGTTTTAACATTCCGCCATTTCCTATTGCTAGTGTTGATTGTCTTATGATTTTTTTATTCTGCTTACAAGAATAATGAATGTGTTTACCAACCACTTACCCCTTGAGTGCAAGGAAATGAGTTTTCGTCACATTTGCCGATTTCTTCAGCACTCATTGTACTAAGTTTGAGGAACGTGCTGAAGAAAAACAATTTAATGTAGCTCATCCGCTTGGCAGTAATTCCCACGAAGTGAGGAGTGTGGGACATCGTCAGATCAAATAAAGGCCCTCAGATGAAATAAGTTTTCCGAATCTTGACATAGTTTAGAATATGATGTTGTAAAACAATTCTTGAACTCGCCGACCATTCCGTGACATGGGAGAACACTTTCACCCATTTTGCCGCAAATTTAAAAAAAAATGAGTTCTCTTCACTGCATCTTTGGATAAGGTCGAAGTAAGGTTTTCAAGTTTTGTTAAGCAAATGGATGGTTTTGGTGATGTTGGTGCTCTGCAATTCGTGGACTCTTCGAGAGAGAACAACATTGCTCAAAATATCGAAATCTCCTCGATCATTCGTTCTTCTCTGTGCATCTTTTTGTTTCGTGACATGCTACGATTAAAATGATTACCTGCTATTTGAAGTAATTATTTTGTTGATTTTGGCTTTGTCTTTGTCTTGGTATTTCTTAAAGATGAATCAATGCCAAAGATGTTTAGAATTTCTTAGTTTCAGTTTCTCTTTCTTGAATGTTGTTACTGACCCTTTGATTGATTGATCTCTGTGTGGTAACTCTTTTTAAACAGCACAATGACTTTCTTATTAATTTTGTGGTGTGTTTCTAGTAATTTGAGGAAATAACCCAACCCAAAGACAACAATTTCCTCTTCCTCAAAATGGCCCGTAATTAATATTATAATTGGTGTCTGTGTAGGATCTTTTTCATGTGCGACACAAAAGAAAACAAATATTTCAGGAAGCCACAATCGGCGGCGACATAAACACCTTTAACACCTAGTGTGGCCATTTTTAATGGCTGCTTCTAGAAAAATATTTTTATGGGCGTTCTTCATGAATTACGTAAAAGCGCTCCGGGAACAAGGGGTTGTAGACAATTCTTTTCAAATACTCAGTGGTTAAACGCGAAATTGAACAGCTTCGTATTAGATCCGTATCATTTCTACCAAGTAACTTTTTCTTCCCGGGTAGGAAAATGAACTCTCTCTTGTTGGAAGCGGAGAATTATTTGTAATACGTTTAGTTGCAGGACAATACCAACTGAATTTTCGTTGCATTTCTCCTTAAAAAGGAAAAAGTGAAAATACGCTCTTGATGCGTCAACACACTGCACGACTGATCAAATATGAGTACCCCTACTGGTTCCTCGCTTTTATTCAAATTTTTCTCTAAACTAATTATCATCGGCAAGCTTTCCTCGCTTTTGGTTGTATTTTACAAACTTACCAAGCTCAAAACGTATTCACGAGTAATCAATTTAGTTTCAATATGACATATCGTTTGTAGAACTGAAAGGTAATTGACAGATAATTTAATCAGTAAAATATCTCCTTTGATTTGCTGCAGGTACCAAGAGTTTTATGAAATAACTTCAAGAATCTTCGAGGAAAAAGTGGACAAAAGTACACGACGAGTAAAACCGCTTCAGCGATCAAAACATGGAAAATGAACTGAATGCATCTACTGCTTACCCAAATGCAACAGAGTCTTATTTACAGCCTTATTTGGAGCCGATCGCTCTCAAGATATTTCGCTTTGTAATATACGCTGTAATCATCGTTTTCGCCTTGGTGGGCAATGTCGCCGTGTGTATTATTTCAAGTCGTACTCGTCGCCTTCAGACCAGCACGTATTGTTTAGTTATGAACTTGGCCATTTCCGACATCGGATCTGTGCTTTGTCTCCCATTCTTGTTACCTGAACTCTTTATTGGAAACTGGCTGATGGGAGAAGCTATGTGCAAATTGCTGAAACCCAGTGTTGTGGTGTTTAACTTTGTAACAACGAACACGTTGGTGGCCATAGCGTGTGATCGATTTCGTGCCGTGGTGTTCCCGTTCGTCATGCGACCATCAAAATCAGAAACACGCTTGATCATCGCACTGCTGTGGCTTATTGCCTTTTTGTTCTCTTTGCCTTCGTATGGTGCTATGACCGTCCTGGATTTTCCAGATAGTCCTGGCATTTACTACTGTTTGGATGTTTTCTCAGATGACTTTGACAAAGACACTGACTATCGTCGCGTTTACACAATAACAATGTACGCCGTGAATGTTCTTCTTCCAGTACTTGCCATCTCGGGACTGTATCTAAAAATCGCAGCCACTTTAAAACATTTTCGCCTCATACCAGTGGCACTGAGACCCAATCGTTCGTGCTCACTCAACACCTCGCCCAATTCAAGTCCGCGCTCCTCATTAGTAAATACTAACAAGCTGAACATGAATCCTGCGGGTGCAATAAAGAGACAGATGATGGAGAGGAGATTTCTCAAGATGTTGATGACTGTGCTTCTTGTTTATGTACTGTGTTACATTCCTTTCCAAACTTTGTACCTCGTTTACGAGTTTAATCCGGATCTGGCATATCTAAGCTACCTACAGCCACTTTCGGAATATTTATACTTGATTGTGTGGCTTCCGAACGCTCTGAATCCAGTTTGCTACGGTTGTTTAAACGAACAGTACAAGAGAGCTTTTAAAGCGTTGATATCTAAACCTCGAAAATACTTTCAGTCGTTCAAATCGCGGCGGACTTTATCAACAAGAACTAAGACCTTGGCTGGAGTTAAAATTCGGTGAAGTGCCGTAGTTAAGGGGGGAGGGGGGGGGGTTAGAAAGAAAGACAATATATCTATTTTAAAAACATGAAAATGCATAATTCCGTACATTATCAGCATTCCCTGTGAGAATACTCCTTCATATTGAAATATACAACGTTCTTCGGTTACCCAGTGGCTTTCTGTCCAATGCATATCACCATGATTACGATGGCAACAACTTGAAACTGGTTGTCAACCAAGTGACACCCTGGCACTTGCAAAAACAACACTTTAAATTACCCAAGATTCATAATTTAGGAAGAGAAAGTCAGCCAAAAGGAAAATATTGTTTATGGTTGTAATCTGTATTTATTAACGTTAGAATGCTACAGTAGCTCGAATATTTATAGTTATTGTGGTGTGATAAAAACAAAGTTATTGTACAAAGAAAATACATCTTACCTGGGTGCATGTACGTACATAAAGATTTGTTACTGTATGTTGAGGTGGCATTGTGATTATCATAGCGATAAGAGAAAGTGCATTTGGTTTGTCTCCACACTGAAAATAAAGAAATTTGAAGCTGTACACGACAAGAGCTTTGAACCGTGAATCGAGATTATTTTGAGTGGTCGTGTTTACATTGAAACCTGTATCAATCCTCTTAATACTAACAGTGAGTATTGCATCTAATTTCTCCTTACTGCGCCCCTCCTGCATCCAACATTAACGTCATGAAGAAAAAAAAAGGAAATTTGAAATGATCGTCTACCTGAAGAAGTTCTTGATTGTAAGACAAATTCTCCTTGTCGGTACCATACAAAATGTATAAAGATTGCTATGGAGAATATCCATTTTGATGTTAGGGTGTAAAGGTTAAGAAGGCAGGAATGGCGCAGTGCTTCCTTATCCCGGTGACTGACTACGGTCTGGGCGCAATTCACGGAACTGACGTCACACGTGGGCTGAGTTCGTAGTTCGTAGTTTCAAGGGTTTTCGCTGGGCTCTACAGTTATCTTCTCTCCAAAAGAACTAACCCTTTAAATTCCAATTCCATGTACCAGGAATAAAGTGGACGAAAGCTAACCCGAGGAAGTTTCACTGCTGAATTCAAACTTTTTTTGTTTTATCTATTCACTAAGCGGACACCCTTGCGTCCTTACTAAATCCAGGGTTTACTAGAATGCCTAAGTCCAGTATTTTTGTGAGTATTCATCATTGAATAGTAATTCTTTCTACCTTTCTCGAGGAAAGTGTTTCGCCGAGATGTATTTTGCAAGGTGAAGAGTTTATTAAAACATACGAAACAGTCGCACCTTTGTCTTCTCTTTGAATTGCGGTACATAACTATGCACATGAGCTATTAAAGTTTGACTCTAAATTGCTGACAGACAAAGACCTAAAATGACAGGAAATCTATTCTAGGAATACCGAACATTTTTTTACGAAAGTAATTAGTGGTTTTCTGTTCCTCGGAAACAGTCAAGTGTTCAGCGATTTTCAGATCTTTTTAATAAACGCTGTAACCTGTCTCACTGAGAATCGATTCATCCATTCCTGTGAAAACTCACCTTACTTGTGTTCGTAAGTTTCACTCTTATCAAGTTAGGTTCGTTGGGCCTTTAACATATATCTAAATGCATAAATAATACGCATGCATGGCCATACATTTTGATTAATAATTCTTATTTGACCTAGAACGAGAAATCGGGCATAATTTATTATTGGAGGTAGTCGCATCTTAAAGCGCAAAGTGAGAAGGTGAAAGAACTCATCCAGGAAATCAGGAAGCCTAGGAGACTACACGTTCAACTTGCAGAAAGTAAATTGTGAGTAAAAGGTGTTGAAGTTTTTTAGTTTTCATCATGAAGATTTCACTAATTATGGTTGTTACTTTGTGTGTTGCCACTGATGGACGTTTGTAGCTACAAAAACGTTGATCGTCAACTTTGAGATCTTGTAGTGTTCTTGTTCGGCTTGGAGACCTCCTGAAAAGTACCACTGTCGATGGAAGTGACTGAAATTAAAACAACATAAGCAAACGTTAACACCACACAACACTAATGAGCGACTATTCGTCACGAGCTCGGGGTATTTATGACAACAACCTTTGAAATGTTACACTTGAATGGTTCGAGTTCTAAACGATAATTTTGGTTGTTATTTGCCGCACATCAGCTTTCAGTGTATTGTAGCAAGCAGGATTATCTTTCTAAAAAGAAAAACAACAAAAAACAGAACAAAGACTATGCAAAAACAATTTATCCTCTTTATCTATTAAACTATCACATGTCGACTTGAGATGCTAAATTTAGAAAGCTTGTTTCGGCTCTGATTCCTTTCTTTTGCCGTCAGACGCAGTTCGATTTTCCCGTATAAAATATTTAGTTTTCAAGTGTGATTTGGCTTCTTCGGACCGATTTGAAAAGACAGAAATTAAATCTAGTCTTAAATACTAAGTTTTTGATTCGCTGTATCCACTCAAATTGCGTTTTATCAACAGACAGATCAATGTCAGTGTCAATTGACAGAATTTGAAATTGTGCTGTCAAAAGCGGCGAGTATTTGCATAAAAGGTGAAAATAAACAGGCGGAGAAGTTTTGATGTAGACGAATATGTTCTTTTCAGATTTTAATGTCCAACGTTTATATGTAAGTCACGCATCAGGAGTGTCTTAAAATAATACATAGCTTGGGTCGAATAATGAAATACTGCATCGGCAGTGGGATTAAGGTGGCTCCAAATGAAATGTTGATTTAATTTTTTTAAGTATAAATTCTTTGACTGATCAACAATGGTTTGCCCTTTTTCCTTGAGGAAAGTGCAGTTTTTAGTACTTGTAAAGTTTTTTTTTTGACATCATAGGTTGTCATAGTAACATTGTGGCCTCCTATTGAAATACACCCTCGTTACTTTCGTCATATCCAGCGCCTTTTCCGATTGACGCCCCCCTTGAAGTTGGCTGCCACTCTGAGCAACTAAAAGTTGTGCGGAATGTTCGAAGTGAATAAAATTTCTCCAAATATCAAAATATGCTGGACATTGACAAAAAAAACTTTCTAGTCATTTTCGCAGTATAGTACCGCCTTTGAACCCTGTAACCCTGTCAGAGACGACTGATCCCCTCTTCCCCCTGAAAATCCCTCCCCCCCCCCACCCCATGCTCCAAGATGATAAATGAATCATAAATGCTCCCTAATGACGAACATGAATGGTATCCCCTCCCCCTCTGCTCCAAGATGATAGATGAATCAACTGCTCCTTAATTATAGAAAGTCTGGAATCGTCTGTGGATGAGAAACATTTCTGCAATGTATCAAGTTCGCTCCTATGATCTCATAATGCGCACTTATACTTCGTAATAACATTAAATGTAACAAAACTCCAGCACCTTCAGATTTGTCCCTACGAAGAAAATACTCGCGCTCGAGCTATACATCCTCTGCAGTTTCTCATCCTTCTGAAATCGGTAAGTGTATTTCAAATCAGTAGGTATTGTTGTTAAAATTCTCAGCGTCTTTCGTGATCATATCTAAGATGGATAGCGAATGCGAAATATCTTTCTTCTTCACTTGATGGCTGTATCGCCGGTCTTATACCCTTTTCGATTGCCGGTAACTTGTACTTCCAGGGCACTTGAACGAGCTTTTGTCTTTACAATCAAATTACAACAATAAATAATGCCAAATTATAGATTACTTCGAATGTTTATGCTAGAAAGAGAGAAAGGATTCCAATAACAACTTGTGTAATCTGATCGTTATCTGTCTCTCTCAGGATACAACACAACATGTTCTTTTACTTGTCACATTTAATTCCCTTAAGTAGGACTCAACATAGAGTATATGATGTTTGTGACAGGCATAAAACACGGTAAATTGGCGGGTTAACATGGCGACGACAAATAGCGATGCTCCATCTTTACATTTGCTATCGCAGCGGCAGTAAGTAAGAGAGAGAGAGAGAGAAAGATAGTTGCGCAAGAGAAGGAACTCTCCTCTCTTTTCCTCGGCTCTGTAGAGAGGCTTTTTTTTTTTCCTTTTTTTTTTTGCACTCACCGATTATCCAGAGTACCCTGGAGGGGAGTGTCAACGGCGCCGTTCACAACTCTCTTACCTAGAGTAGTTATTATGCCCATTCTCGCGAGATAAACTAGGATGACCTCCCTTAAATTTGTGGTTCTCAAAAATAGTCGTTAAAACCTATGGTCAAAAATCTTAAATACCTTTAAGATTTACCCCCAACTGAGGGAAACGACCCACTTAACTTAGCAAGTGATGATAGTTTTCTACCCTTGTTTTTAGGCGAGACTTAAAAGATAGTCGGAACGTATGCTAAAGAAGAATTTGTGTAGCGAAATTTTGCCCCCTGAGAAGTTAAACCATCACAAACTGTGTTGATGTGAATATTTTTTAGTTGTCAACGGGCAGCTTCGATCTTCTTTTTCTTCGGTGAAATCAAACACCAGCGGCCGTCATATTTTTCAAGTATTCCGGGCTCAATCGGGGCTACTCGAAAGGACGCAAATATGGCATCCCCATCAAAATTATTGTTTGACTTTTTGGCAAGTAACTCATCGGCCTAAAAATGGTCTGATTTGAAACGTTTACTCCGATATATAGAGAATAATATATGGGCGCGCGTGTATATAGCATTTCTCTTCGAGTGTTCAACTCGAAGGGAAATTCGTATTTCAGTTTCACTGAAGTGTGTTGTTACGGCTTTTCTCAGAGCTAGAAATCCTTGTATAACACTGTTGTTTATATGAGAAAATGTTTTATTTCTCGGTAGCGTGACAGTAGGAGCCATGTGACCGACAGCGCGGCTAAAACTTTAGAACGGCGATCACAATCGAGGGACTGCTTTACATATGATTAAACGACGTTTATCGATAGCATGCATGATAACCCTCTACTTGACACGAAAAGGTCACTATTAATTTTCTGTTCCTAGCAAAGAAAAAGCAGAGGGCGGCTGACAGATGGCTAAATCTCCAGTCCATTTCGTGTGCTAAGCGTAATAAATAAACGGCTCCGTTCTCTTGGCCGCGGTTATTTTGCTCCCCTGTGGAAAAGCTTACTTGAAGTCTGCCTTAACAAAGAAAAGCTGTCAGAATAAGGACACCACAGTGGACAAATTAATATTTACCGCAACTGCGACGCGAGAGAGAATAAAGAAGCTTTTTAAAAAACTTACGACTAGAAAAAAGAAAAAAAAACATGAATGGCTGTAAATAAACCGGGTGGTTATGTTGTTATATTCCTTTGAAACACAACATTGGTGGCGTTCCTTGAAAATTTATATACGCTATAAGCGGTTATTATGAAAGAAGTGAGTAAAGAGTAATTTATTACTTCATTTTATGAGACTCGATTAGTTTGAGTCTCTTCATGGCAGAATTTTGTGGTCGGTGAAATTATTGAAAAAGCAACTTATCTACACTGGTAAACAGAGTGAAGATTCGCTTTTCCTTGGGTGTTGTACAGAAAATCCAGAGCATGATTTTTGATATGCAATCTCATCTCATAGAGAGACTCATTACATTTATGGAGTAGACAACTTCGAGTTAAAAAACTAGTTGGACTCTTCGCATAATTTGCCTTCATCTATAGATGCATGTTTGTGTGTGCAATTTTAACCAACTCGTTGTACAAAAAAAAAACCCTAAAGTGTTTTATTGTTCACCTGTTTTTCAGTTACATTCGTTCGAAAGCAAGTTTGAGAAGAACAGCGGGGACTGAGGTCAAAATGTATGATGGCGGAACCCCTACAAATTTGTCCATTGCCGCTGATGATAATTCTACCGGTTTACCAGAGAATGATTCAACCTTTTATTTGGAGCCGATCGCTCTCAAGATATTTCGCTTTGTAATATACGCTGTAATCATCGTTTTCGCCTTGGTGGGAAATGTAGCCGTGTGTATTATTTCAAGTCGTACTCGTCGCCTTCAGACCAGCACGTATTGTTTAGTTATGAACTTGGCCATTTCCGACATCGGATCTGTGCTTTGTCTCCCATTCTTGTTACCTGAACTCTTTATTGGAAACTGGCTGATGGGAGAAGCTATGTGCAAACTACTTAAACCCAGTGTTGTGGTGTTTAACTTTGTAACAACGAACACGTTGGTGGCCATAGCATGTGATCGTTTTCGCGCCGTGGTGTTCCCGTTCGTAACGCGACCATCAAAGTCAGAGACACGCTTGATCATTTCACTTCTTTGGCTTATTGCCTTTTTGTTCTCTTTGCCTATGTATGGTGCAGAGACTGTTATAGTTTTTCCAAATAGCCCTGACATCTATTACTGTTTGGATGTTTTCTCAGACAACATGGACAAAGACACTGACTATCGTCGCATTTACACAATTACGATGTATGCTGTACAAGCTCTTCTTCCTGTGCTTGTCATCTCGGCGTTGTATCTAAAGATCACAGCCACCTTAAAGAATATACATCTTGTTCCTATAGCACTACGACGCAGTCGCTCTTGTTCACTTAACTCTACGCCCAACATAAGTCCGCATTCATCCATCTTAAATTTAAACAAACTGAACATGAATCCTGCAGGCGCACAGCGGCGACAGATGTTGGAAAAGAAGTTTCTTAGGATGTTGCTAACCGTGCTTATTGTTTACGTGCTATGTTATCTTCCGTTTCAAACGCTGTACCTTGTTTACGAATTTAATCCAGACTTGGCCAACCTGAAATTCATGCAACCACTGTCGGAGTACCTTTACATGATAGTGTGGCTGCCAAATGCCATAAATCCGGTTTGCTATGGATGTTTAAACGAGCAGTACAAACGCGCTTTTAAGGCACTGATATTAAGACCTCGTTCATTCTTTCAGTCTGTCAGATTACGGCGCAGGCTTTCCAAAACTGTCATCGCCGAAGTGCAGTTGAAAGATATTGCAGCATAGCAAGCGTAGTTTCCTAACTTGATCTGAATGGAATGATTAAGCATAATGTACTTTCTGTGGTAAACCACCAACTGGGAATCAATGCATTACTAGTCTGTTAAAACACTTCTCATCAGTCGCGCTAATTACGCGACGTAGAGTGCTGAAAGAAAATATGTACAATAAGAATACATGATCGACGAAACAACGATAATTCACTGTATTCCATGTTTTTTCTTCCTCGTCTTTGGGCAAGCTAGGTCCTTTTCCATCTTTGAGGGGCGTTTTAGACATGGCCATTCGTTTTTTTCTCAACGGTCGTCATGTACTCTTCTACGTCTCTCTTTTTCTTCGTGAGAACTGTATAGCAGGGTCCATTTGTGCTGCCATTGGAAGGCTTCTGATCATTATTTTTGGGTAGCGTTTAAACTTAATTGACTTCGTTCTCACCTGCACAAGTCCCCTTTTATTCCCAGTTTTCCCGTGCGATAAAAAATCGCTAGAGCTATTGATGTCTCAGCCTTGCAAGGTAAAAGGCCCTATAAAGAAACAATATTAAGGCATTTTTTATCCTCATTTTACTCATCTAATTTTACGTCTCGCCGAGTCAGAATGGCATTCGCGAAAGCTGTCACGTATGTTGAGAATTTTATCCTATCGTGTAGTTTTTATCCTCTGATCAGTTCTGGCAGAAGGAAATTCGTTTGAGGGGATATTCCCAAGTTTGTTGTAGGCAAATGATCACTTTCGAGGCGAGCAAAAAATCACCAGATGTTCACTTTCGTTCGGGTCGCCACATTTGTACTTTTCTGAAAGGCACGAAGGCGCTGAACCCATACTGCTCATAGCAATGAACAATTCATTAATCTGTGGAAAACTGCATAAAGGTAAGGATTAGGAAATTTATTAAGTCATCTTTGATCGACAATGATTTTTCCCTTTTTGCTCCAATTCTCTTACATTTGATTTAGTTTTGATCGCGTGACATTGGAAACCCTAATGAAATTCTCCTTTTTCACGGGAAGTCCACGCTGTCTCGACCTCGAGGTCTCCTCAGTACGCTTGGATATTCTACTAAGTCTGACTCGTTTAATTCATCTCAGTTTTAATGTTCTTTTTTGGTGCATGCCTTGAACTTTACCTAAGAGTTCCAGGGTTAAGTCTCTGTATTGTGGCTATTTGACGGCTTTATCAAAGCACCTCTTTCCCCAATGTCAGCATTTCCTTTGTCCCTCCCGCCTTTTGTCTTTTGCTTCCTTCGAGTCATGATTGTATCATTAATGTGTCCTGCCTTTTCTTTGCAAGCTTAACTGATTTTATCCCAGATCCACTACTAATTGTTACAGTAGAAACCACCTACCATACAATGGTTTCACATGATAACAACCTATTTCCTTAGGAAGCCTTTCTGTACTTGATGATTTTCTGAAGGTGTGAAACTTGCGATACGAATCCCCTTAAGTATTTTATGTAACTGGCGGTTTTAGGGTTCGTGCGATGTTTTTCAGCCAATTGGTCGAAAAATAAGTACCTAAGCTTACACGAAAGGAAATGTTTAGCTCTAAAATTTTGTATTTTTTCTTGCGCACCAAAACAAGGTATTAACATCATACATCCAAACAATTTAACTACAGCTGCGCAACCAATATGTCTTTGGTTATTAACAAGAACAGAAAGGTGGATAAACCGCCGTAGGAAATTTTTTGTAGCCTTTAGATCTCAGGTGATTTGTTTGCAGGATCATTACTCAACAACCTAGATTTTATTCAACAACAAATCGTTAGATACTTATAAGAAATAAGTATAACCAAAAACAGACCAAAGGAAAGACATTTCTTCTGCGCTTCATTGAATTAAGGCTCTACGGTAATTGAGTGTAGTTAGCACTTATACAAACGCACAAAACAAAACACTTGGATAGTGACTATAATCAGTAATGATTGTATCGGGGCCGTTTTTTTTGTTTTTTTTTTAAACCACTTTTCAAACTAACCTCCTCGAATACAAGTGGGCCAATTGTATACCCTTAAGAGTTACTTTGTGATGATGAAAGTGCGTTTTAAAGAAATGGGACTGTGGCAGCCATAAGTAAGTAATTGACTTGAATTCAAATTTCAAGAGAGACCGCACATGCGTTTCAGTGTACGTCAAGGATCTAGCCTCTTACTAGTGTGTTTTGACTCGATCGAACTTGACTATCCATCACTTGAACACACATTACAGGGATATGAATAGAATCTTCAAATTACCAGTCCGGAGAGCATGGCAGATTCAATCTCCTAATTTAAATTAATTTTATTTTCACTTCCAGCTGAGGCCTTCTTAGGCTACCAAATTCCGCCATTATATTTTGCCAGAAATCGAAATTTTCATTTCACGATATTTCGATTGATTTAAATACTGGAATGAAAACGGATCGCGCTCTTACTTTTGCCCAAATTTGATAATTCACCACGACTTCCCTTCAAATCCACACATGTCACATATGCTGTAAATATTTTTGGCTCTTAACATTGCACAGTCTTTTTCGGAATTTTTCTTATTTAATGTTATTGACGAGAAAGAACGATGTTGAAGTTTCTCTATAACCTTAAAACATGAATTTCGAAGGCCATATAAGTTCCACAATTTACGAAGTCCTTTAGGATATCGTACTAACTTTTATCGATAAGCAGAGATACAAGAAAGAATCCGCGATTTCTTATTTTTGTCGTGCAAAAGGCTCATTGAGTCTGCAACCTGTACTAATGAAGCAAGCACACAAACTTTCGCTTTCATAAGAACTTACACCGACTTGTCTTGGTCTTGCTTTTTTTTACGAAGTATGTTGGTCTTTCCGGTAAAATTATCTTTAAACTTGTTAATACGGGTCATTCACTCGAAACTGGATTAGCAAAATCACTGCACGAGTCCTATCCTCTAACAACTGGTGGTTCGGAGCGTAGGCGGTTAAAATAATTTCTCTCGAAAACTAAGTTGTTGTTAGTTTTTCATTTTATTCAATCTTCTTAAAGATCTCTTCATTCCAGCTTTGACTTATATTCAATAAAAGTGGCGATAAGACTTGTCGAGACAGACTGATAGCTGTAATGAGGAGCTTTTCCATACTTCATTTAAAAAAATACACGTGTGATCCATTTTATTTTCAAGAGTGAGACAATCTACAGGGTAAGTGAGCGAAACTTAAACAAGTTTTATCGAAATTGTTAAGACGCTTGGGTAATATTTCATGGTACTGGTAACTTCAATTACTCTTGGGGTTTTGTTGCAGCACTTATGAGCCTATTTCCATTTTTTTTTCGATGAATCGAATAGTTAAAAAATTGATGAGAAAAACAAGTCATTGCATGATAGACGCCAAGTAGCATTAAAAGGATCGGGATAAATTCAAGAAGGTTTGAAAAATTAAAAAGGTGTTTTTTCACAGTTCCTCGACGAGAAAATTGTTATTTTCAGCGTCAAGATAATGAAAATAAACGAGTTTCGGCTTGGTATAACGAATCATTTGTTTCACTGGGTCCTATGGAAGCAACTTTATAAAAAAACTCGTTCATTCGCCTCAGCGGCAATTCAGAATTTGTTCAACTCGGACGGACGGACCTACGGATTAGTTGAACACGGATTTCACAGTAAGGGTGGCTAGAGTGAAAATTGAACTCTTCTTAAAACATTCTATCTCAGTGAAATGCCTCAACTTAGCACCAGGAATGGAAATATTGCCAGAATATTGCAATCAAGACAGGAATTTTCAAAATTTATTAAAAAGATTGTCTATTCAATCCTTCCCACTTTTCGTAACTTCTGTAATGGAACAAAAGTAATTATTCTGCTGAATCTTATTTTTACTAGAATTAAATGAAGACACATCGTTTGAATAGAGAAAATAACCCTAAGGCACAAAACGTGCGAGGGATTTGAATTAACATATTTTTTATTTTTTAAAAACTTTTCCGGTGTGTCAATTCTGACTCAGAGCTGGTCTTGATAAAACAGAGGTAACTGCATATATATAAAGGGGAAGTTTTTTAAAATAACAAATTTAGCCTGATGCTTGCAATCTAGCTTTCCTCATTTTCCCCTTCTATCTTGAAAGCCCTTCATTGAGAAGAATATACTACAATAATGTCACCTTGTATTTAAATCTAAAAGAAGGAAAGGGCTCAAGTTTCGTTTTGTAATCTCTTACCGTCTAAATCGCAAGATGGTTCACCTTGGCCAAAAATATCTTTCGTGACAAAACAACAAACTTTTATGTGGTGGTGTCCTATAAATTGACAAAGTGTTAAGGCTTCTGTTAATAAGGGAAAAAGGATTTTAATGCGTTGATGTTCCGTAATGTTGATTGAATACTTATTAGCAACTGACGATTTTCTCACCCACAAAAATTTCATTCAGCCGTAGCATCACTAAAGATGTCTTTTTAAGAGACCCATACTCGGGAAAAAAACGTACGAAAAAAGGTCATAAAACGAATTTTTTTCCGTAAATGACGGATTAAATATCGTTGGAGCGGAGCACTTTTTAAAAAATTTTTGGGCAAATATTCAAAAAGTAAACATCAACCAGAGATTACTTTCCATTTTAATTTCCCTTTGCTAGAAATCGCCGCGACATCAAGTCTCCTCCCTATTCAGAGAGTACGTAAATCCGTCAAAATAAGCTACAGAGAGATCGTGGTGTTTAGGTCACGAAAGGGGCTTATAGCCATGAATTGCAAATAAATCTGATTGTAAAAGTAATATTTTAGATCTATTTTGTGAGTTAAATTTGTGTTGAATGCTACATAAAACGAAAAAGGGATCAATAAGACTTTTAAAACCTTTATCTAGCCTTAATTACGATCCATCATAGAATACCGACAAGAAGAGCTCCTCATTCAACCTCTCAGGAAAATTAAGGCTTGGCGTAAGCAGTGTCATTTATCAGGAAACATACAAAGCATTAAAATATAAATTGATTAAATGTCAGGTTTAAAATTAAGATTCTGAACGCTTTCACAGTATAAAAGACATTGGAAAGTTTCACGAACATCATTGTGCCAAGTTTATTGATAAACTTGTTCAAATCTTTTATAAATTTGTACGTAATATGATATCGTGTCAATCACATTCGTTACTCAATACACCTCAAGCCTTTTGTTGAACACTTGCCTTCTACCATTGTAAAACCTTGAAATTCTAAATAGAGAGACATTAACTTTAAATGCCATATCTCTTGGCTGTCCACATTTAGTTGCTAAATTATTCGTAATTAATCCGTATTCGTTTGTCTTAGGCGTAACATATATTACAATGTCATAGTTCTCCGACAAAATTAAAAACATGCTATCGGAAATAAACCTCACATTTTGGTCAGACTTTACTTTATTCTTAGGCCTTGACTTAGTTTTACGAATAATCTTGTAACTTTCCGTAGCTTTCAATACTTGCTGCAAACTGTAAAAACACTTCTTCGGACGTCAGTATGAATATTAATGCCACAGAAGGACTTCTTGATTGCTTTTTCGATCTGCGTTTTCACAAAGCATTAAAAAATTTAAATTGATTAAATGTCAGATTTAAAATTAAGATTCTGAACACTTTCACAGTATAAAAGACATTGGAAAGTTTCACGAACATCATTTTGATTTTGGCGTTCAGATCTCTAAGCTCAAAATGAACAATACATCAGAATGCATAGTCACCATAAACACTGCAGCAAAGTCTACCATAACAGCACTGGTATTAAGTGCCATTGCGCTGGTTTCTCTGCTTGGAAATGGTCTTCTTATACTCGTTTTCTTCAGATCAAAGGCTGTAAAGAAGGCAACGAACGTGTTCATAATCAATATGGCTGCTTCCGATCTCCTTTTTCCTGTTTTTCTACTTCCGCGTCAAATTATCGCGGCCATTACAAGATCGCCACCAGAATTATTCCTCGTCCGTGGAGCCATGGGTTCCTTTCTTTGCAAGATCTCCACCTTCCTCACTGACGTGTCCATTACAGTGTCAATACATTCCTTGGTCATGATTACCATGGAGCGGTTTCTTGCTATCGTTTTTCCATTCAGAATTCGTCAACTCTCTTCTAAAGCACGTCTCTACGCCATTTTGATGGTGTGGATCATAGCGTTGGGGATTCACTCGCCATACTTCTACACACATAGATTGACGAGTTCAGGAAGATGCGATTACAACTGGGAACCAGCATTCAACCACAAAATTACGCACACCCGCTATTACACCGCCTTGTTTGTGCTGATTGTCATTTTGCCCTTCACTTTGATTACCATCCTTTATTCCGTGATGGTTTGTTGCCTCTTCCTGAACAAGCACAAGCTTGTAATACATCGCTCCAGTGAGAATGCTCCTAGAAGAAGAAGCGGAGCAAAAGAACTCAGAATGTTAAAGATAGCAGCGACTATTGTCATTGCCTTTGCAGTATGCTGGGGTCCTTTCAACATCATACAGTTCTTTCACCTGTTTGCCCCATGGAAACTTAAAAAACTTAATTGCAACATCGGTGATGTGTTGACTCAAATTGCCTTTATTTTGGCGACTGCCAACTGCACGGTTAATCCAATCGTTTGCCTCGTCTATTTAAGGAACTACCGTTTAAAAGAGAGTTTGGCAAGTTTACGGTCACAATTCAGCAACATTTCTAAAGGGAGTCAACGAGAAACTGAATTGTAAAATAAGCGCCAGGTGGTTGGTTCAAGTGCACTTATTACCCATGCATTTAAGAAATAAGTACCTTTGCTCATAATTTGGTAATCAAGTTTTATCAAGAGATATGGTAAATTCTTGAAGAAAACAGTCCAAATAGCCAACAAAAATCTTTTTGCATTTTACAGTAGAAAAAAAAAATGCAAAAAAATTAATAAAACAAAACAAGTCAAACTTCAGAAAAACGAGTAAAGAATTAGTCCAACAAATGGTTGAGAAAAAAACCAAGAAACAGAAAACGAGAGTAACAACAACAGTAAACAAAAGTGTACTGTTGCGCCGATACCAACAATACCGTAGGGAAAAAAATTGAGTTTGCAAAACCAGCGGGCCGTTTTCTTATTCATGGTTTTGTCCCAAATTTTCACTTGAATCTTTCGCTCAGCTATAGCCGTTTAGATCAAACAGGTGACATGAATTCACAAGGTACTCCCTTTTTTTTCATTTATCTATTTGTCTTTTCTCTTTCCAATGTGTACATATATGATGATAATTTAAGTTTATAAAGCCTATCTTCTGGAGTCGTTGAATACTTAATTTTAATACTTAAAAGTACTGTGCGTGTACACATTCGACATGCCAAGCACACATACAGGGGCCCTTTTTCCATTTCCTTTTTTAAGGAAGCAAAAGCCTCTCAGTACCTCTCATTATAGGTTATTGATTGATTTTACTCCTCTATAAGTATCGTAAGAAGGTATGTGTTTAGATTTCAAATTGGACTAGGCTGTTATTGTTACATCGATCATAATTTCTCGTTTTGCTCAATAGCTTAGCTTGATTAGTTTTGAGCAATTTTCATTAATTGAAAGCAATGTGGGATTTAAATTCTCAACGCTTCAATTTTTTTTTCAAACAACACACACACATCTCCTCAACCAATACTGATATACAAAACTAAAAAGAATTTCTATAATATTTTGCGTGTTTTTATACTAATTTCTCATTGCCTTGTTGCGATAAATACTTTCGCTTTGATTGACCTTTGTAATTTCTAAATTTTAGGTCTTCCAATGTCTAGAGGAAAAGTACTTTGTCTTTGCGGCATCAATACTGCGACTTGATGATCATTTACTATTTGCATTTAGCATAATTTATTAACTGATACAAATATTGGCTGACTCCGCTTTTTAGTAATTTGGATCCTACTTCGGTCGAAATTATCGATGCAAGAGTATTAGGATAAGACGTGGCCTGACTAGTGGTAGCCTGGTTTAAAATATTCAGCAATATTGTTAAAACATCATTAAATTTTACCTGGGCCATTTTTTAAATTTTAATAAAGTATTTAATCTTTGGTAAGGCCTTGGTAATAAAAATGTGATGTAGAGTTGAACCTGAATAATTTTTGTGGTTTCGATAGGTGATATCATTTCCTTCGGAACTAATATGATAAATAAATAAAATATATATTTGATGAATGTTAACAGGGTGCAAATCTTAATAGCTTTGATTTAAAATGCACCTAACTAGCAGTTACCTAATAAATATAAGATGAATGATGGTGTACAGTCATGTTACTATGTAGTAAAATTCTAAAACTGAGAAACAATCTACTTTGTACCCAGAATAACAAAGATAGTAAACATGGAGCTCGTCCGCGAAAGGAAGGAAAATGTTTTTCGTTTTTGTCGCGAGCATAAGACGATAAAACCCCATGAATCTACATCACTAGACTAAGTGATTTGTTCAATGCAGGAACTCAAAAAATGCTTTTAACTTTGCTCATCCTAGCAGGGGAAAAGGAAGGAAAAGGTTTTTTTTTTGTGGGCATAGGACGATAAAACCCCAAGAATCTACGTCACTAGATTAAGTGACATGTTCAATGCAGTAACTCGCATAATGCTTTCGACTATGACAGGAAACCTGTCACATATTAGCCTAAGCGTAGCCGTATCCTCCCCCCAAGGGTCTGGTGTTTGACCCTTCGTGGGAGACGCAGATATCAAGTTTTTGTGCGACACTCGCGACAAAACTGATAACAGTGTTTCCCTATGAATTTCTTGTTCTATCTGAGCCAATGTTCCTTTCCTGTATACATAAGAAGATATCATGAAGTCATGAACCAGAGAACATTCGTTTGCCACATCTGTGACGGGGTCTTTCGTCCGCATTTAGAAATTTCAGATTTTTAAACACAGCACACACTGCCCGCAAAATCCCTGTCGATCTTAATGTGAACAAACTATGTTAGAAGATAAGATGAAAACCCAAAAGAGTAATTCTAATGATGTAGTCAATCTACTAACTCCTTGCAATGGATGGTTAAAGATTGTTCTTATTCTTACTTAATTTCATGATCAACTCGTCAATACCTCAGACGGCAACCCTCATACAAGCCTGTTGCAAAGACAATAACCCGACAGCCAATGCCCTGGCACATGTTATGAGCCACGGAAAAAGCGAAAATCTGTTCGCTGGAACAAAATAGAGCCTTACGCACCCGATTGTTTTGGAAATTTTAAAATTCCACAACCATAATTAAGAGTTGGTATGTCTTTTATTCTGTAGTCACTTACTAATACAATCCGACAGTATTCAGACTAGCTCCCATCTACTAAAAAATTCAGCTCATCAGTTTATATGCGTGACAGTTAGACAAAGGCTTTGTCTAATGTCATCATACCACACTTAATGCACGATCAGGTTAAGCTATGTACAACAGATCCCGCATACTAAAGTATGTGCCTTCGAGATGTTGACCCTTTCCGAAATGACCCTCTAACTTAAAATTTCATATGTTTTCAGTCAAGATCCTGGTAGAGAATTCGATATGGAATTCATCCAAAAGCGAGACTAAAGGAGATCGAACATTTCCAAGAAATTCCTGTGTAGAGAACAACTTTGACCAGAGCAATTTACTTTTTTCACTAACAAGTGGATATTAACAAATTGGAATCTAACTTAACACATATTTCTTCCTCAAAATTAATGGCAACTTGATGTAAATATTTTGAAACATTACATACACTATTTTTTTGGCGGTAAGAGGAGATTACAATTACTCTACCACCATAGAAATACGAGATGATCAACAGCTTTTATATTTTTGCGGAATGGCTTACGATAATATATTAATTCCAATCATTTTCCCAACACCTAAATAAGCCATAGCACATCTACAGAAAAAAAAAATTTTGTTTTGATGCCAATTTTTTACTTTTAAAAAAATGAAGTAATTTGGTGAGAGGTGAAAACCGAACACCCCTGCTTTTCTAATCGGAAGTAATGAAAATTAACATGCTTGTTTTAAAAGAGGTGACTTGTCTTGCCCAGAATTCATGTTTCTTCACCTCCAAATTATTTGTAATGGTATTAGTCGAGGTTCCTCATAGGGCTGGGGAAGGGGATCGAAATCCCTATGTGCAGACCAAATAAATCTATTTTATTCACTAATTTCTTACGTCAAATTTTACCCGAAACTCCTTCCCCATTGTATATGTCAAATCTAAACGCCTTTTAAATATGGTTAATACAAACCGAATAGAATCGGTCGATGTAATCTTTTGATGCAAGTGCACGATGACTTCGCTGGTTGGCCTTAATCCTTTAGCTTCTAAGAGTGACCAGCATCTAATTTCTCTTTACTATATCACACTGAATCAAACATGAAAGTCATGAGGATAGGAGAGATGATCACCAACTAAAGCAGCTCCTGATTGTTAAACAAACTCTCCTTGTTAACCCTATTTGGAAATTTATGGAGAGCAGTATGGAGAATATGCATAGTGATGTTGGGGTGTAAAGGGTTAATCTCAGCATTCACACCCTACAGAGGTAAGAACTCGAACCATCCTCGCTCCACTTCCAAGTGCATCAAGCACGTCGTCATCTGAATCCCTTTGTATATAAAATCGTATACTGGACCCTGTATTACAATCAGGGAGAAAAATAACAACACGCAGAGGAGTAAAACTAAGCCGCGATACTGACAGTGCAAAGCTACTCGATCTAATGTTGTAAACTGGAAAACCTATTATTTCATAAGTTGTCTTTATCAAATTTCTATTTGCTTAGTTTTTCCTGTTTTTTTTTTTGGTTCTTTTTTTCTGTATTCTTACGCCAAAAAGCATCGCAATGATGGTAACGAATTCTTTACGGAAAGAGTCAGTCTATCATTTGATTTTTAAGAAAAAAATGAAAGCCAAAGTGAAAGGTATGTTGATTAATTGGAACAATGTTTTAACTCTGTTCCAATTAAAAAAAGACTTGCAAGGTTTTGAAACTGAACAAAATGATAAAACATGTTCAATGAACAGACCCATCGTATCGCAAGTGGTTTGAAAGACTTTGAATATTCCCTCGTTCCACTTTACTAAAAGGCAAAAACATGCCTGTAACCAGAAATTCTTCTCAATCAGCCTTAAATAACATCAAAAATTTCATTTTCAATCAAGTTGACTCGCGAAGCTGTCTTATAAAGGTGAGGTGAGGAGCTTTAATTCGAACGCGACTGACACCGATAGGATTTAGATGTACAAACGAACCGTTTTGCAGTTTAACAAACCAAAAGAAGAATATAGGCGTTGCTTTTCAGGTCTCAGGAATGTTCTGGCGTAAGATGGATCCCCTTCAGCAGGATAATTATTGCAGGGCGGATCGGCGAAATGAAGGAAAAAATTATATCTCTCGTCGATGGAGGCTTTTCCCTCCAGGCCGCAATAGCCCGAGAAAGAAACATCTCGCGTGTGAGCGTATAATTATCTCAATCGCTTAGCCGATGAAGTAGGCTGTGTGTTTGCCTTCTCCAAGGTGGAGCTGACGAGAGGTTACCAATAAACACTGGAAAAGATCTGTATAAAATCGCGACTTTCTTAAGTTTGGGTTTCCTGGTCTTCGCCAACGTGAATGGTTGACTGATCACAGCTTTCAAATCGATGAATGACGTCCTTCACTTCGTATTTCCGTGAGCGTATATACTTTTTACCATATCTTTTACTCTTCTTTGCATAACATCGAGATTGTATCTTCTGCATCATGAGTTTCAGTTCATTTTGAAACTGTGGGATAAGCAAAAGGCAAAGCCATGGGTTTAAAGCACAATAACAACTCGCCAAAACGAACGAAATATAGGAAACTGTCTGGTAGCCCTTATTGCACTCTGAAACCAACCAAGGTGAAATGAGCCTAATGGAAGTTAAAACGATATGGAGCATCCAGCAGATCAAAAATGCTGTAGTAGTAGAAATGGCCATCATGAGGAATGTCCGAGTGCGTCTTCGAATCCGTCTTGTTCCGTTCTCGCTTCGACATGAACTCATTTTGTCCTTTCGGAGACGCAAAGCCACTATTATGTACAAAACAGAAATGGCGAGTAGCGGTAGAATCAACACTGTTGTGTATAGAAATATATTGTATCGATAATGCGCTGACTCGTTATTGAAAGCTGGTTCCCACCTCGGTAGACAGATTTGAATCTCATGGCCATTCTTAAAAAATCTGATTAGTCGATGAGTATAAAAGTATGGCGAGTGAAATGCTGCAGCCATGATCCATGTTAAGGCGAAGAAAACGCGACGTCTCACTCTAGAGGTATTCTTGTATTGAACAGGATACACCACTGCAAGGAAGCGCTCAATAGCGATAACAACCATGCTCAGAGTCGAAACAGATAGCGACGTGTCGCCTAGGAAACTGCACATCTTGCACAAAAATGTGCCTCCATTTCCATGGACAAGGAAAGCACCGGATCCATTGATTTCGTTTGTAATGTAGCGCGGGAGTAAAAAGACTGCCGTCAGAAGGTCCGATGCTGCCATGCTAGCGATCGCTAGCAGGACTTTTTCTTTCATTCTCACGAATGCTGTAATAAGGAGAAAATTTCCTATC